AAACCTTAAAACTGAATATTTTAAGTACTTAATAAATTAAATTCGTTTGATAACTTAAAACTCATGCCACTAAATATTTTAAACACTTCTTAAAAACAAGCTAAAATTTTAAGTACCAAACTACTTACCTGTCACTTAATGCAGAAACATGTTAGTCAGTAAGAATTTTATAAATTTTTCATAATGGACAAATATAGATTCAATGCATTTTATACTCTTAACTTTTCAATACCCACTATTCACCACCACCATCATTGTGTCGCTGCCGCCACCACCATCACCAACATTGTACCGTCGTCTCCACCACACCTATCACCGCCATCGTCACAACCATTGGGTTGCCGCCACCACTACCATTATGCTACCACCATCGTTGTATTGCTGTCATTACCACTACCATTGTATCACCATTACTACCACCATTATGTCACCGCTATAACCACCACCACCACCACCATCATTATGTTGCCACTATTATTATCATTGTATCACCATCATCATTGCTATTAACACCATAACTATTACTACCACTAACGTCATCACTATCATTGTACCACCGCCGCCGCCGCCACCACCATTGTGTTGGTGTTGGTAGGAATAAGGTAGTTGCAGAGAGATGGTTAAAAATAGTGGCAGAATTAGAATAATAATAATTTTTAGACTTCAACTTCTTAGATTTTTCAAACAATTTGATTCAATGCAATACTTGAATTTTAGTTGGTACAAAAAGTTTACGAATTAAAAAATTTAGCATTCAATACTTAAAATTCAGCATTTAATTTTCATTGTTCAGCTTTCAGTTTTATCAAATATTACCTAAGTTCCCCACATTTATATCCACCCTACTAGTAACTAAACCCACCACATGCTACATACACCGCATTAATAATTAAGCTTACTCATTCTATGTACACCTCTTTAATGAAAGAGGTCATAAGAAAAAAAATAATAAAAGAAGTCAATTAGTTTGAATGCATATATATATTTACGATACAAGAAAAAAGAAACCAAAAACGAAACATGTTAAAAAAAACAAGCATGTCGAAACAAGAAAAAAGAAAAAAACGAAATAAGCTAAAAACAGAAAGAAATAAGCAAATTGAAACAAAAAGGGAAAAAAAACTAAGCAAAGATTTAAAGAACAAACAAAATTACAAGATGCAAAACCGAATATGAAAAAAAAAAGCATCAAGCACAAACACAAATCACAGAAGAAAACAAATAATAAGTATAGATGCAAAACCTTAACGAGATAAAAAAGAACAAATAATCTGAAACCTTACATATATATGCACACATATAAATTCTAAATAAAAAATTATTAAACTTGACAGTGATATCAAAACATACCGAAAAAAAAAATGTATATAACAACACATGATATCAAACATATAATTAAATTAAGTAGTAATACTAACCTATTTTTCACTAAAAAAATTAATATTAAAAAAGTGCTTTTGTGAGTGCATGAGATGAGATAGAGAATGAAACCTAATTATGATAAAATATAAAATGTGTTTATTTATTAAAGGGGGGTGTATTTAATATGGGGTAGACTTAATTACTAATGGGGTGAGTATATAAAGGATGTGTTAAGTAATTTGATAATGAAAAATTAAATAGGGTGAAAATGAAGATTTGTGGGATAGAAATAACCCCACCCTATTTAAAATTGAACAAGCTCCAACTGGAGTTGCTGTATTTCTTGCTCAACCTCGTCTCCGGATAAGATTGGGAGCGTTTGAGCCTAATTTCATCCGGAACAAATCCCATTTTCATAGTAAAAAATAATAAAATATTGAACCTGTAACTTCATAATCCATGATAATCTATATAATCACTCGTAAAATTACTTCTCACAATTTTAAATATTTTACAAATCTATTAAAGAAGAGAGGAAAATAATATGGGTCGGGCGCATTTGAGGATAATTTTAGTGTTTTTCATCTTTTGAATAAGAATTTTTAACGAACTGCTCGAATCGTTTAACAGAGTTATATGTGAACCATTCAACTCTTTATTGTCCATGACATTTTGTTATGTTATGGCCCCAAGAACGATGGGTAAGTTCACCCAATTGGAAAGTTACAGTGCATCGCCCCTGTTGAATCAGCCTTATGAATCCCCTAACCACATCAAATCACATTTGGAAGATGGCAGCGAACACTGATAGCTGAAGCTTTTGCAGCTCAAGGAGTGGAGTGAACCATATTGAAACCTCAAAGGGAGGAAATGGTCTTGGTAGATAGGTATTATGCAAAATATAATGCTTTTTTCTCCCCCAGTAGTTATGATGCCTATCAATTTAATTTTTTTTTTTTTTTTGGCTACAGTCTGGCAAACTCAGGCTGACCACTGTGGCGTGAACTAAATTAAAGCATATCCCTAGAAAGATAAGAATGGCTAACTCTCGGGGAGTGTTAGAATAGATTGAACTTAAGACATCTAAATTAACAAAGGTCAAACTCAACTACTGAATCATCCCAAGAGTTCTATCAAATTAATTTAGTAAAAACGCAAATTGCAGAAGGATGGGCAATCCAGGTTCTGGCCTCTGGGTGTTTCGCCTGCACCACGTCTCCCCAGCATCTGAGGGATCTTTTACAGACTGTCATTGCCTCCTTGTAGGCTCCCTCGTAGGTCGTGTTCTTCATTTTATGGGCAGTGAAGATATATTTACCCCAAATAATACATACTGCATGTATACATGTGTGGGTGCACGTGTGCCAACAAACACCGAAGGATGAGTGCAATGACCAAGGAGAAAGTCAACCCAGAAAAATAAAAAGCCTTTTACAGAAAATGTCAACGAGTTTAGAAGAGCAATTGTAATTGTTTGAGACGCAATTTTTAGCCCCTTTTCACCCTTTACTCGTATTTGGCTTGATTTAATACAAGAACTCTAATGGGCAAACTCTTATTTTCAGTCGAATTCACTTTACTCACACTTGGCTTGACTTTGGACTGTGTCATATTTTTTGAATCTACTAGGAGTTTAAGGGATTACAAAAATAAGATTGTGCTGGAACAGAGGAAGAAAAGAGGCTGAAAAGATGATTGGTAGGAATTTAAATAAAAAATTGATCCTCTATTCGAGTTTGAGCACAAATTTGATTATCCTTTCGTTAAATGATTGAAACATGTTTTTAATAGTTTTTTCTAAAATTCAAAATTGAGTATAATTTTGAGCAAGGGAAGGAAATGCTGTAAAAATAAATAGCTTAGACCCTAAATCACAACGACATAATTCAAATTACAGTCATGAACCAACTCAAGGGCATAGGTTTGAAACTTCACCCATTAGTTACATAGAAAGGGTATCAGAAGCTGTTCCCTAATGTTCATCATACTTTATAGCTAGAAGTTCCAAGTTATGTACCTTAACTACAGAAGCAGCAGGATTCAAAACCTGTTGAATAAGTGGCTACAATGAGCATAAGTAGACGGCTTCACACAGCCCAAAAACATTATATAATCTGTTTCCACTTCATCACAACAAGCATCCTGAAATAGACAAAGCAGCAAACGAAAGTTGAGAAAAAAACCCAAAACTAACCTGCATTATAACAGCAAAATACAGCCAAAAAAAAGAAAGAAAATCAGAGAGTTGAGCAAAAATGCTAACGTAAATACAATGTTCCCAAAGGACTTCACACCATCCATGATCAATAGAAATAATTGGCATATGACAAAACCCCCTCTCTTGATGACAGACTGACGTATCGGGCTAGTATAACGGATATGTAAGAAGTCACAAGGATAGCAACACCACCAAGCAACAAACATTGTTATACTTCCACTGTAAGAAATTTACCACTGAATTCTCCTTGAGACTATATGAATGTGAAAGTTTAATGAAAATTTGCATATTGGAGGGCGACAATTGTTCCACGATGAGCTTCTGAATATGCTGATCAAATATTTATTCAATTCACTTCCATAATGCCCATTGGATAAAAGAAAAGAGTCAGGCTAGTGGCTACCATAAAAGTGCAGATTAAATGAGTTCAAAAGTTTGGGTCAGTGCACATTGTTGAATATGTAAAATGCAATAGAATAAATGGAAATTACATTGATAATTGCACATTTACTAATGTTGAAACTTCCCTTCTGGATGTATGCTTATGATGATGTACTCCTGAAAAAACTTTTTTGTCCAGAAAGAATAAAAAATTTGGAGCATAGCTATGAGGCAATCATGTAATGCTCAAAAACACATTGGAGCTTTACAATGTCATTAAAAAATATACACAATAAGGAACAACCAGTAACTGTGAAGCAATTTATGCCACATTGGATGCAATATTATACACAATTTTAGCCAACGGTATCCATGTTGACATCAAACTCCAATTTCCGTTGTTAGTGATCAATACTGGAAGTTCAGCAAAAATATTCACAGAAAAAAAAAGGTTTTGTTGAAAGCAAAGTGTTTCTGCCCCTTTTTTTTTCCAAGAGATGATTAACATAAAGTATTATGATAGACGAGAAGAGTATAAAGATGACCTGCTGAGGATCTGCGCCAAGAATGTTCAATAAGATATTTGCGGAGAGACCTATACATTCAGTAATTCAAAGCTTAATCAGAAGACTGAAGAGGGAAGGAACATTAGAGGCCACACAATAGTCCGGCGGTAGTTACAGGGTTGATGTAGAGTAGGGTGAAGTGGATGTTGACTGTAGGCAGACACAAGATATAAGATATTCAAGGAAAAATAGGAATTCTACTTGATACATTTAAGAACAAATGAGAAAAAAAAAACTCAAATGTGTTTTGCTTCTCCACACTCTCCCAAATAAATTAGGTGGCAGTACATCTGCTTACAACTTAGTCAACACTTGACAAAGAGGAGATATTGCAAGTGCAGTGAAAAAGATATCAATACAAATGAAATCAGTTACACAAAAACACATGTCATGAATTGAGCACTACATGTTGTTATAGGTTAACTTTACTTACATTTCAACCAAATGGGGAGGAGGATGTTGAGAGCAGCACATCAATCTTTTGGATTACATTTCAACATTTCTGAAACTCTGCTATCTGCAGACAATTCTTTGAGCAGTTTCACATGATTCTCTAGACCCATCAACCTCGTATTCAGCATATCAACCTTACTATGATACACTTCAAATTCACGAACATATCCTTCTTCTGCTTCCTTCGCCTTCTGTTCCAACATTACACGATTCAATCTTTCTTCTTCTTCATGCTTCAGCCGTTGTTTCTCTATTTCTGCAATGCTCAACATTAAACCCCCAGGACCAACATCCTTGTAAAGCGGTTCCTCAGGAATCTGACAGCGTTGCCTATATTCAGCAAATGCCTTGTCAGTTGCCTTTAAGGCCTTTCTGAAGCCATCTAAAATATTGCCCATTACATAGAGCTCACGTTCAAGCCGAAGTATTTCTCCATCCCTTTTCTGCAGCTCTTCATAACTGGTCTTCTGCAAGTGTGCAATCACACTATCCCGTTTGTGGAGCTCGTCAAGTAAGATCTGTTGATTCATATTTGATTCCTCACAAGCCTGCTCCTTTGCCTCATACATCAACCTAGACTTTACCATCAATTTCTCCATTTGCTGCATGCACATCCCAAAATCAGATGGTTTAGGGTCCCACAGGCTATCAGTCCTCAACCTCTTATTGCTACCATGAAGGGAATGATGTAACATATCATGCTCATGCACAAGCTCTCTCTTACCACCATTACCAAAACTCGAAGGACCGCCTGAAATCATATGTGTTTCATCCCTGGATGCAAGAAACTGTCCTGAAGACTGATCATGAACTTGCCCTTCCAAACTAAAAGCAATGTGGGTGGCTTCCATCCCTTGAAGTAAATTACCCGTCAACCCATCTCCCTCAAGACTATCATCATTTGGTGCAATGTTAAATCCATCCTCTGTGTCTTCCTCTCCTCCTACTTCCTCCTCCTCCTCCTCCTCCTCCTCCTCATCCTCCTTCCCCTCATCCTCCTCTTTGCCTTCCTCTTTCCTCTCTTCAAGACTATCCATAACCAAATTTTCTCCCAAGTCACAATGCCGCAAAATATGCTGACCTGCAGTGTTCTTTCCATCCAAAAGCCAACCATGTTCTTCCTCCTCCTCCTTGCTTTCCTCAGCATCCATCATCTCTTCATCCTTAACTTGTTCTTTTTCAATAACTTCTTGCCCCAAAGTCAATTCGATATTGGGTTCCTCCAATACTACATTGTCTTTCTCTTGCACCTCAAATTCATTCGAAGCACCCATCTTCACATCGCCATCAGTACCACCACCCTCTTCTTCCTTCACTTCCACATCCAAGTCGACCTCCACCTTAGGCTCCTCTTTCATCACCTCCTCCCGCTGTGACTTCATCAAATACTGCAAATGCGATGCGTAATAACAATCCACCAACTGCTCCCCCTGTGTCAACTCTTTCTCCACCATAAACCAAACCAAACCAGCCCAATCCACCTTCTCAAAATGCCCATCTTTTATCACCCGCGTCCAATTCAACACTTCACATGGCATGATCCACGTATCCTCGTGCAAAAGCACCCAATTCGATACAAAATCCTCTAAAAACTTGATGGAATCCTCAGACACCGCCTCCAAATCCAAGTCCACTCCTTCCAACACATTCACACCCTTCTCTTTCTTCACCGGCAGTTTAAATGCCCGCGCTAAATCGGCCCGATTGACAGCGATTTTAAATTCATTCACATAACTACCCCGCAGTTTCGGATCATAAGTGGCGATTAACTGAGCAATCAAATCAACCCGAATGGTTCTATCAAATTCAATATGAACAAAGTCCCACAAACCAAGGTCTTTTAGGAGTTTTTCATGTTTCGAAAAATCTAGGGTTTTGGACGGTTTAAAAGGAATGGGTTTTAGGTTTTCCAACAGGGTTTGGAGTTTCTTTTCAATTGCTTGTTGTTTCTTGATGCTACCTTTACCTTTCTTACGCTTGTTGGCTCGACGGTAGGCGTTGGTGGGTGACGTCATAGGGACATCAGAGATGGTGCACTGGAGGTCTGTGATCGGTGGGTCGATTTTAAGAGGATGAGGACATAGAGACATACCTGATTGTTGCTGTTCTTCTTCTAAGTGGTCTTGAATTTCTTGGTTTTCTTGATCTAAAACCTGTGATGGATCTTCATGGTTTGGCTGCTCTTGGGGAAAACTGGAGTTCGATTGTTGTTCTAGGTTTTCTTGATTTTGGGGATCTGGGTTTTCTAGGGTTTTAATTTGGGATTGAGACAGTGATTGTGGTTCTTGTACTTGTTCATTCGGAGGTGATGGTGGTACTGGTGGGTTTTCTTCTTCTTGGGTTGGACTGGGGTTTTGAGTCTGCAAGTCTTCGTCTTGAGGTCGGGAGGTGGAGGGACAGGTCATGGTGAACTCCGAAACAGGTTAGTGCTGTGCTTCCGAGTCCTCCACTTACTCTGTTAACACAAGCGAGTAGGACTATTCTCAGCCCCACACAAATCTCGGTTACTACCCTATTAAACTGTTAAATAAAAAAAAATTACACTCACATGCCAAGGGTTGCCATTTAATTATTTATTCCCATGTATCTGAAATACTATATAAAAACTCTTGAGATTTATACATGCATAATACTTAAACTCAGCCATTAATATTCGTTAATATATCTATTAGTAAATTATAGCAAAACCTTTTAAAATTAATTAACATGTCACATTTAGACCTCTTAAATTTGAAATATTATACTTAAACTCCTTATTAGTTACGAAACTAACATAATCTATTAAATGATCAAATTATCTTAATTAAAGATAGAAGATATTATGTTCATTCTATGAAGTATGAATAATTCGTTAAATTCAACATATCTGTATTGAATATGATACTCGAGGATATGTATCGATACACACCAAACATATTCAATAATAAATAAAAATATATGAATACTTCGCAGATACTTCTATATGTAGAGAAATATGTGTACTTGTTAATTTTAATCTTTACTCTTTCCTTTTGATTTCACATACAATGCATACATCAACAAAAAAACATATGATTTAGAAGGCACATAAGTGTTTTTTAAATATTATCCGTTACTACATGTCCAAATAGTTTAAATGAGTTGATTACTCTATAATCTTCACAACAAATACTTCTAAGCAAACAATATAGTTAAATATTGGTTCTTATTCAATGTTCACTTTGTAAATGTATCAAAATGAGATAATATATAATTTTTTTAAAATAAAAAATTGTTAATGTTATTTATTATTGTTAATGAATATCTAAAAATTATAACTATCAAGTCATTACATAGCAATATATATATATATATATATATATATTGTATTCGAATAATCATTTAACTAAAAACCCGTATCTTATTGTTTTGAATTTTGTTGTATACGTATCGTATCATACCTCGTATCTCGTATCTGTATTCATGCTTCTTAGTGTCCAATACAGTTTGACCGCTTATTTGATTTTTTAGTTTTAGTTCAATAGACATTATAATTGTATTCGAATAAGTGTTGAATTGAGTTCTTTGAAAGATTTATAGTGGTTACTATTTTTTTCCTAAAAAAAGTGAGATTTTATTTGGTTTTTATGTTAATGGATGATATAATAAAATATGCACATATGTTGATTAAGCTTATTTCATACATCGTAAGGGTGTCTATGAACCGGGTCGGACTCGCCTCGCAAAATTTTTTTCGGCCTGGGCTTAGGTAGGGAAGGCCCAAGGCCTTATCTAGGTAAGTTATCAGGCAGCCCGAGCCGAGCTTCGAGTTGGGCTAGGTTACCCATAGCCCAACCCATCACTCATTAGGCGGGTCTTGCAGGCAAGTCTATGGCCCAGTTGGGTGGGCCTGCTAGGGTGAGCCTATTGGACGGGCATTTTATATACAACTTCATTTAGAAATAATAAATAATTTTATTTATAAATAGGGGAGGAACTGCATTACAATAGAATGAGTTCCTCCCAACTAGGTTGTCACTTATCCACCTATTTATCTTCTTCAAATTTCAAATTTAATGTGTCTAACTTTTTTTTAATGAAAAGTGGGTGGGTTGGGCTGGGCTGGGCTAGGCGGGCAGTTTCTTGAGTCGGGTTTTAACGGGCTTTTTGCTAGTGGGTTATTGGGCGAGATAATGGGTTTTGGGGTTCGTCCAAGCCTTCTCTTGAAGGATATTGGGCTTGGAATCGGGCGGGCCAACTATTGGGTTTCGGGTCTATTTTTTTGAGTCGAGTAATGGGACCCATGGGCAATTTGGCCCATGAACACCCTTATACGTTCGTATTTAATGATGGAAAAATTGACCCAAAGTGAAAAGTCTATTTAGTCCAAGTCCAACCCATCTTGTCAAGAGCTCTAATTTGAATAGGATTCTATAATCATGGATAAACTAAATTTAACCACACAGATAACATCAAATCAGCGTATAAAGATAAAGTTATAATCTTTATCTTTCTATGATTGACTGGATCTTCAATTATTATCCCTACGCAATTCAAACTGTTAGAACTCTTATAAATAGAGTTCCATTGATACTCCAGGTATGTCACTCCTAGTTTTTAAACACAGTTCTTACATTTGAGTCATTTTATTGAGGGTGTGTTTGTTAACTCAAATTTAGCACTTAAAATAAATATATTCAGCACTTATTAATTAAGTCCGTTTGATAACTAAAATTTAAACTCTATTAATATGTTAAGTGTTCCTTAAAAATAGGCTACAATATTAAGTAGGAGATTTCTTACTTAATTCTGAAAGCTGAAAACACTCAGCAAAACTATCTTTAATAATATTTACAGTATGACAATTATATTCCAAAATATTTTACAATCCTATTAAAACTCTAATTAGTCTTCTCTTCAAAACTCCTAACCTATATATTCTTCGTGTCGATATCTTTTTTTTTTCTTCTTTCCATGGGCTTCTGTAACAAAAAAATACATACATAATTATAATTATACACATAAATGCATACACTGCACACACACAATTACACACAGACTTATGCACTGCACACATACATACTTACACACACACACACACACGGAGCACACACATATTATTAATAAAATCTAATTTATTGTATTTTTCAATATTATTTGATTATTTATTATTTATTGTTCTTTTTTATCAAATGTTATTATTCACTTATTATGTTATTGTTCAATTATTGTGTTATTCAGATGTTATTTATTTATTTATTTTGATCAAATATTTGTTAAATGTAGACTACAATATAATAATAGTGATTATGATTTATATTATAACATATTTTATAAATATTTTTAAATTAAACAGTAGAAGGGTAAAACTGAAAATTAATTTATTTTCAGACGTCAACTCTGTGTATTTATCAAATAGTTTAGTTCAATTCAGTACTTAAATTTTAGTGAATACCAAACAGTCCACAAAATTAGCATTCAACTTTCAGCTTTCAGACTTCAGCTTTCAGTTTTCATATTCCAGTTTTCAATTTTATCAAACACCACTTAACTTAGACATTGGAGAGTCGACCCTCGAAGCTCCCCTCCAGTTGACGACTTGTTTTTTAGGTCATTGAAGCCCAACAAACTGATGTGGAGGTTGTCCAAATTTTGAAATCAGCAGTATTAATTATGATTTTTTAAGGAAAAATTGAATTTTTATTTTTGATTTTTTTCAATAAATGACATAATAAAACATAAATTTTGGTTGTAAAATTTATAATATTTTGTATTTTATCTTTAATTAGAGTATTTTTTGTCTAAGTATAATATTTTAAACTTAAATGATCATGCTTCAAATTTTATGGGTCTGCATATCTATGTATTACGCTCGTACAAACCTCAAGGGGTTTGTGTATAATATTTCAAATGTCAGGGGCTCTAGGTTATTAAGTGACAAACTTTAGGAGGTCTGACTATAAGTTTTCTTGAATATAAAACTATTAAGTCTACCACATCTACACTCATCCCATTAGCAACTAAATTCACCCAATTCTATATTCACCCCAGTAATAACTAAACTCATCTTAAACTTCAATTTTTTTTATACTCCATCTCACACATCCGATACTGTTATACTCAACTTGATTAGCTAATATAAATCTCTCTAAGTGATATTCAAGTTGGTATTGGTTCTAAATTTATTTTATATTTTTGTGCATATTTTTTTTTTCAATATCAAAAGATTTTCATTTAAAGGTTATACATAAAATATATAAGGTTAAATATATATACATATTCGAATTGGTTTGGCTTCAACGGATCGAATCTTGATCTGTCCAAATTCAAATCTAATAAAAAAATTCTAGTTCTGAATTCGATCTGTTTATTTGAAGGATTTCAAAATTTTAATTCATATCTGTATCTATTAATAATCGAATATCCGATCCAATTACATGATCCAATCTGAAAATTTGAATCCCAACAAAATTTCATAAAAATAAACTAATTTTACCAATTTTAAGTTAACTTTCAACCTAATTTAATCAATGAATCATTATATTTAATAATTTATGTTTAATTTCATATCAATCTTGTTAATAATCTAACTAAATAGGTATGTGTATATAATAATTTCTCTTAATTATGTACGTATGTGGGTGTGTGTGTGTATATATATATATTAGATCATATTTATATATATCCAAATTTAAATCTATTTAAAGAAGCTTAATCAGATTCTGTTAAACAAATCAAAATATTAATCCATATCCGGTTAAATGGACTCGAATTTAGATTAAAATTCGCTTCATTGACAAGCCTAGCTACCATAAACATATAAATTTCTTTACAAATTGGGTAAAAATCACCCACATCCCTTTAAAAGTAGGTCAAATGAAAAAAACATTCCCTCACATTCCAATAATAACATGACGACCCTTACTAGCGTTAAAAATTGCCCAGCATTAAGGTAATGGTTGAAATTACTAACTTAACCTTAATTTTACTAGAAACAAAAAAAAATATTAAAGAAATGAGGAATTGACTATAATGATCATACATAATTTATGTATTTAGAAGTTGAAGAGACTATCACTCTCGTTTGTTTTTATTTTGAGAGACAGAGAGAGGGGAGAGAGAAAGAGATAGAGAAAAGACATATAGAGAGAACACTCATATCTCATGGACAAATGGTTATGAAAACCTAATCATTCCACATATTTCATAGTAGAATACTTAGGTTTCATGGACAGGTTCTTCTATTAAAGCTTTTTGGGTCAATTTTATGTTATTTTTTCATCTGTTCGAGAATAAATCCAATCTTAGAGAACACTAACCCTTTTGAGATTTGATCTATGTTGTGAGTTTTGATTCAAGCTTCTGGGTAAGGTATATTGGTTCTCTCTCCATCTCTTTTTAGTTTATTTGTCTCCTCTCTACATCTATATCTCATGAATCTAGTAGAAACCCTAACCCTGCCCATGTCCAATTGTTGGTTAGTAGCGTCAACCCTATGTGTTTTGTTTATACCCTAACCC